AGGAAATGTAACTATATACACTGGGCATTGGTACAGAAGATAACAGTTTCCACCCTTGCTGAACTAGGCTGGAATTCCTGGGCTCGATCGTAGCGCCACCAGTGGCTATAACGAGTTATGTCCCTTCTATGCCTCTCCTATGGACCAGACCCGTGAAGATTCCGGGGTAGAATAGGTCTTCAGCAACCCATGCTTGCCGTAAAAGGTGACTATGCGTGTCGTTAAGGCGATTAACGGGATCGGGTGGTCTGGCTCGCTGACCTGGTTGATGCATGTCATCGATCCAAATTGCGTGGATCGATGCTCATGATATCAATCACTGGATTGTCCAGACTCGATTATTTACAGACCGCCGTCATATAGCTGGAATATTGCTGAGTGCGGCGTTAAACAACAAACCAAACAACCAAATCCTATGGACCAATCAGATTCCACCTCTCGTATCACTTCCATTTGCTTCAAACAAAATGGCGGCGTCCAGTGAAGATAATCTGATGGATAAGCAAAATCTGTATTGTGATAAAACGGATCTTACGACGCAAAGTGAATTAAATCACGTGAGCACCTTCATTTAAAACATAAAAAGAATTGGAAAATATCTGTTGACGAGTTGGCGATACACATGCTTTGCAAATCCTGCAAGCGACCGAAATCAGCACGACAGTATACGAACCGGATTTCGATTTCGTTGCACGATTTTGATTGGACTATGCATAGACTCGTTAGTCCAGCCAAAATGTAACTCCATAATACCAGCCTAGTTCGGCAAGGGTGGACTTTCATAGTCAGTTAACTCTCCTGCCTCGGGAAGATGTACAGATAGCCGATAAGTCAAAACTGACGCCATTTTAAGGATATTTATCAGTCTGGGAATGATGGAAGCAATGTTTCGTGTCTATTACTGATTACAGTGAATTCTTTTCACGTACAGTCATAGGTCATATTTAGACTTGTATGTATTCAGACATGATTCACCGATTAAGTCATGTTTCTTGTTGACGTGGGTGCTTGAAGCTAAGGGTCCCTAGTTAAATGACATAAATATAACTCAGATTCTAACGTAAACCTAAATGCCGACTTTATATCATGCAGTGAGAGTTCAGGTTGTTATATGTTTGTATAGGCTATTGATAATCCTTGTATACTGATTGCCTTCACAGAGAAAAAGCATGTTGTGTTTTATGACATTATTTATACAAATATCCTGTTTAGACAGCCGCCTCCGTCGTCTAGACTAAGTGGTAGAGCTTCTGTCCAGAGGGCGAAAGGTCGGGGATTCGATCCCCGGCAACGTCATACTAAAATAAATTATAGGTGGTACTTATTGTTACGCGGCATTAAGCTAAAACAAGCGCTTGCTGGCTCAGAGTCAGTTTACTGTGTCTGAATGGGCTATCATGTTAAACTGCGGCATGGTCCACACACACACACACACACACACACACACACACACACACACACACACACACACACACACACACACACACACAGACAATCCTAACTACCTGATCCGGTTAGACAAGCATAATTGCCTCTTACCACAAGCATGGGTTGCTGAAGACCTATTCTATCCCGGATCTTCATGGGTCCAAGAGAATGGTTCAACTGAATATTGATTATAACGTTTTTGTCCGTTATTGTTTTAGTTTAATGAAACAAACATTTTCATTTGTTAAGATGTTTAGGTTATGAGCGGATAACCTAAAACAAAACCGACGTCATTTTGTGACGTCAAATTCTTATTGGTTGTCGGATGCTTACTAATTGGAGAAGAATACGTTCTCTAAAACACTATGTTTGGGGAAGATTGTAATTAAAATTTTGATATATAATTTGAATAATTCGTTTTGATTATGGAGTTAAATCCAACCTAACAGAGTGTACTCATAGAATGAACCGTCTTGCGGGTCTATTAAGAGTGCACTCGATTTTTGGCTATCACTCCATAACCTAAAACATCATTCAAGTTAATCCATAAGTCTTAGAAATGACGTCGCAATAGAATAACACACGGCTTGATTGTGCATTGCTTCTTTCACTCCAGGATAAGACGTACAATTATTTCAGTATCAAATCGAAAGATGCATTTACAAATTCTTTACCTAGTAACCTGTCATCACACAGGAATACGAAGAGTGATGTCGATACGATAAGGACAATTTGTTCTTTTTGCTACACATCTATTATTTCACAAATGACAGGATTTCTAATGCAACGATTTACCGTGTCGAGTGTACAATAACCACAAATGTGTCTTTAATATTAAAAAATAAAATACGTTTTTCGGATATAAAGTCTACACCTTTTCTATTGTAGTGTGGCATATCCTGCAGTGAGACCATTGTCAATTGAAAACAGCGAAGAAAAAGCAGAACACCACACGAAGGGACAGTATTGTCCGAATGTATGCATGTTAGGAAATAAACATGTAGTCCGAGGTCCATATGACCAACGTGTGAAATGCACGTTTTATTTGGCAGCCATATTTTCACATTTTCCCCTTTCTTGAAATAAATGAGCATTCCAGTGACAATAAACATGTATTACAGAGGTGTGTAAATATGGTCATCGCCGTCATGTATTAAGGTTCAGCTTTAAGAGTGCAAAACGTATGGGTACACTCCCACACACGTTCAACCTTATTATATAATCAAATGACTATACCGTTGCCTCATACATGTTTATGGTCTTCAGGAAATGATTGATATGGTATATTTCCATTGGTATGGAGTGACCTCCCATTGTATTGTCCAAACTCCGTCCCAGCGTTTGACACCTAAGTTACCCTCCCGGTATGAAGAGCCCCTTGTGAGGAGCTTGTCTACAGCCTTGTTTACAGTTGTTGAAGGGCGACATTATTTCCGACGGTTCGAGGCAGTATTTTCTGGAATATATAAGCCCAAGACGAGGACGATTCGATGCATTCTTTCTGCGTCCTGACTTGCGTCTATCTATTTGCCCAGTGTCGGCTGAATACCTATCGGAACGCAACGTTTTTTCGGCCTGTTTCCAACACTAAATCCCGGATTCATGAACGGAGCACTTGTCTCAATCATGACATTCAACTGAGACATGTTCTAGACATTCGTAAATCCGATGATGCTTGAAACAGGGCCTGATGTTGCATATTGATGCTTGAAATATGGCCTTTTGGTGCATGTTGATGCTGCCACAAAGTTTTACCCATTGTATCGCCATATGTGATTGTAAACCTTCCTTGTGGATTTCAATATAATTTGTTATTTGATCATTGATCCTCCGTGGTTATTTACTAATTTCTTAATTTAGCTCCAATTTCTCGTTTAACCTTCGACTTTCAATTTGGGAATCAACACGTAACAAATTCATAACAAGATTGTTCTGTGGTAAAGATTTTCTTTTCTTTGTTTACTTTATAGTTTTTTATATACACATAACAAATATCGACAGTTAAGTTGAAATCACATGATGCAATGAAATTTAATTGCCATCGGATACGTCATTCAACTTTAAAACGCAGTTAAACGTTAAACATTAATCGCTTAAAGATGGTAAGAAATCATGCCTCTAATATAATGTCTAATCATCATAACAGCCTATGTATTTTGCCATTAAAGTCGCGTTTCACAATTTGCATGTTGGACATTTGTATAAATTCGAAGGAGATATCAATTATATGGATACGAAAGGAAAGAACCTTTTTACATCTAAACCAATAATCAGGGATGGGTATTGTGAGCAATTACGAAGTACAATTCTTTGGTAGACTGAATAACATAGCCTGTTCCGTGAATATATCGATTTGCTCAGAATCAAGATGAAAATCGGCGGAGATCGGATATCTATACGTTACATATACAACAACGGTGAATATTTCTGTACATGTGTAACAGGTAGCCATTTTCCAACAAACTATTGAAAACATTACTATGAAAACTCGTATGGAAAAAAGTAAACATAATTTAATACGGATATGTCCCAACACAATATCACACGCTCACGCCACTAATAGCGTTATACCTTTTATTAGAAAATTATTAAATAACTTAGATAAACTGTTCCTTTGACTGCTACTTATTTATCTTAAAATAATATATTCATGATATACTACCCTGGAGATGTTCCTTAATTAAGAAAAAGAGATATTCATTGTGGAAGTTGAACAGTCACTTTACGGAGAACTAGAACCGCACAGCAGACTGTGCTGAACCTAAGGTTTACGACCTGACCTAAGTTCAACAAACTATATTTATCCTGGAGGTGAATTGGTCCCGGACACCCTGTGTTTGTTGTACAAGTTCAACGTATTAAGATCAGGTGGTTATAAGGGTGAGGTGGTGAAATTGGGTTTAACGTCGCGTCCAAGATTATTGCACTTATATAGCGACGTGCATGCACGTGTATGTGTGTGTGTGTGGCTGCTTGTACTAGTCCGGACTGATGCCGATTTATAGTGCTAGCTCACTGAGATACCATGCCGCAGTTTAACATGAATACCCCACTCAGACACAGTATACTGACTCCGAGCCGACCAGTCCTTGTTTTAGCCCCTTAATGCCGAGCGCCAGACAGGGTAACAACAAGTACCATCTTTTAACGTCTTTTTGTATGACGTGGCCCGGGATCGAACCCTGGACCTTCCGCTCTCCGGGCGGGTGGTTATAATGATTGCCTTAGTGTGTCTGCGTACCTTGATGGCATTGGTCGATGCTCATGCTTTCACTCCCTGGTTTGTCTGGTCTGGGGAGGACGCCATGTAATAGATGGAATATTGATGACTTTCACAAACTCACACTTTGTTCAAAAGACAAAACCAAGGTGTAGTATTTTATTTCCAAACAAGAATAAATGTGAGTTGAGTTTTTCGCCTTGACAAGTCTATTAATTTATCCAGTGAGTAATGTAGGTCGGAGACATGAATTCTGTTGACCACGGATTGCAATTGCGGCGAACCTTGGATTAGAACAATCGACCAGCATAGCCTGCAAAGCGAGAAGTGAGGCCCCGGCGCCAGTACAGAAACGAAAGGTCAACAGTTTTGACAATTCTACAGAACAGGTAAAATGAATTTAAAAACTCGATTGTCCTAAACATAATGCGATTTAGCTCACTATCACAATCGACATGAACAGCCTCAAATCACAATAATTATGGTTATTCATATTGACTATTCAGTGGATTAGCATCCGCATCAACATTGTGGTCATCCAGGTGTATCACGTGCCTCCCTGGACTTTCCTCTGCTAGTGCCTATAGTGAAAAGACCAAGTCATGACCTGAACTCAAAACATTCAATGAACGGTATTGGTATCATCCCCAAACAGGCGTCCTAATGAAGCAGACTGAACAGGAACGGGGCTATTTCCTTAAATTAAACACGGAAACAAGTCATCATGACTCCTGTTGCTATGTAGAGAAGGTTTGGGCACTTTAGGTGTTGCGTTTAGTATCTATCATTGCAATGTATTAGGATATGAAAGATTATAACATTTGCTTATTAAATTATTCTAATCTTCTACACGTTATTCCATATTAAGCCGATAGCGATGTTGTTTGTTTGTTAATGTAATTGGTCAGCAATATTCCATCGATGATATCACGGCGAACTGTGTGTAATTTAATCCTGAAAATATAATCGACGTGGTATGATGACACGCTATCACCGTTCTTACTGGGTCTGGCAATCATTTAGGCCTCGTCAGACAAGCACAGGTTAAGAGGGAACAATCTACTCCGGAATCTCACAGGGTACCAGTTATAACTATTGATCATTCGTAAAAGGTATGCATACGTCTAAATCCTATTAGTATGTCAAGGACAGTAAATTTACGAAAAGTTTTTGAGGTCACCAGAAAGCTGCCTATTCGTTAAAGTAGTTTCATGATCAAAGAAAATACGGGATTGTTTCCATATGCTACAACTCTCATGTGATCGTAATACGTATGTTATCGTATTCTATTATTTGGATTGAGATACAACTAGTGTCTACTACTCACCAGGGAATAGCTTTCATTCTCTTTGTTGGACTTGGAAAAATACCGTTTCACTCTTACAGGGATACATGGCAACTGGATATCTTGCAGGTGAATCACACACGCAGGATCAACAGGAGTCTTGTTTCCACCTGTGAGAGTTAAGATAACATAATGTGACGCTTTTCGTTTGCACATCACAGTTTCCCAATCAAATCAACTGCACAATAATTCAGACTTGTTGTGTAAATAAGAATGTGATTATAGCACGGAGTTTGGAATGTTTACTCCTTAAGAAGATTTTTTTCCAGAATGGGAGAAGCTATTTCCTTGTGTCAAAACTCGTTAGGGTTCTGAAGTAAATCCACTGTCAGCAAGAGGTATTTTGATGCAATCAATCAACACGGCGGCAAACACTTTAACTGTTCAACAAATTAAATTTACAATGAAATAATTTCCCCAAAAAAATTAATCAACACAAGCATGTATAAAGCAATATGAACATTCATTTCCTGTTTAACATCTTAAACCAGGTTCTTGACTCCTGCGAATATCTCCCTTACATACTGAATTAATATAAGCCTCTTTCCACAGTAAAAAGCGCAGTAGCTTATTCAGGAGGAAACCAGGGCAAGCTGCATTCCGCTTGTGTTGATACGGCACGTCAGCCCTGTCTCCCTGTCATTATTGCGATAAACGTTCAAACAAATGTTTTGCATGTCAGGGTTTAAATAAAACTAAAACTGTACAACTAACAAAATATCGAGACCAAATGTGAAATAATATAAACAATTGTTTAAAAACACAGAAATGAAAGTACCTTCTGTTCAAGTACCCATATGGCCATATTTCAAATACTCATAAGTCCCATCGATTTTTCAGAACAATATTAGAAATAGTAAAAAAGTTATTCAGAATGTTATGTCAACACAAACACATTTCAACGAAAAAAATAAAACTCGTTCGAATGCATTATTCGTTACCTAGTTCCACTTATATGTGTTTCACTATTGTTTTCCTTCATATGCGGTGACCTCCGGTACTTACCGAATTCATAAAATCCGTTGGTACCCCGTGGAATGAGGGCGGTTGACAATTCAGGTCATGGGTCTCGCTTTCATTGACCCTTACAAATGTTTAGCACATTTTATGTATTTATGGGTTTCTAAACTATAATAATAAAACTGAACAACTAACAATATCCCGGGAATGTGTGAAACACATATACCATATAAGAATTGTCCCAGAAAATTGTAGACAAAATTAGAAATGCATGCATTTCCTAGGCAATTACTCATAAACCCCCATGTCCCCACACACATTCAACAGAACTAATGCGAATTGGTCGCGGTGACATGGACACCACCTTCAAGCATTTTGACAAATGCCTAACATTTATAATTTAGTTTCTTCGGGTAGCATGAAAATCAAGTTCATGTTTGTGAATCTACCTGTTATCCAGCTCGCAACAATTCCAACCACAATGACGATCGCCATACCCAGAGTACTGAACAGTGTGTAGGAGAGGCTGTACATCGTCTCCAGGGCGGACCTGAAGGATATGACAAGTACAGATCTTTGGGTGCCAGGATGCATATACTGTGTGTAGGAGAGTCTCTAGGGTGGACCTGAAGGATATAACAAGTACAGATCTTTGGGTGCCAGGATGCATGCATTGTGTAGGAGAGTCTCTAGGGTGGACCTGAAGGATATGACAAGTACAGATCTTTGGGTGCCAGGATGCATGCTTTGTGTAGGAGAGTTTCTAGGGTGGACCTGTATCGATATAACAACTACCTATATTGTAGCGATATAACATATTTAGACATGTTGGGGTCAGGATGTATTAAGTCACCCTTTAGCGATGTAACACATATAGATATGGGTGGACGTTTAGCGATCTAGACTTGACCAAATGCTAAAAACCTCTAATGCCATCCTCTTTCACACCATGCAGCAATGCCACTTGATTCGATGTTGTCATACATCCTCGTACGTGTTAAAGAGGAAAATGCTAGCTGTCAGACCTGTGAAGCCTTTGCTGATTTTTATTATCATTATGAAATTACTATGTTGCAGCTCATTCCTCATTGGGTGCTTTACGTACTGCGTCCTTTACTAACCTGCTTCTAGTCTCTGTGTCGGCACATTGCGGATATAAACGGGTGGTTGTAACCAGGCTGTCGGTGGTGTTGACGGACATTGTTGTCATGTTATAGCCCGGACAGTGGTCAGTTGGGCCTGGAGGGAGGTAGGAGGACGACATCCCGCTCGGCAAAGACATGGATCCGATCGTAAGCCATGACATAAAGATGACGCCAGATACAAGTCCGATGGTGGCTCCCTGTTCAGAAGACACAGTGAAGGTCTGACGTAACGAGACTGCTTTTGTTTTCTTTTATAAATGATTAGGATACAGGTGAAACCCAAGCATGTCAGTCAGTAGTATAAATTTGTTCTTTTGTATTGACATGTGAAACAGATGGATGGCTACCAGAATCAATCACATCGTTAAAGTGACTATACACACAATTACTCGGACAAAATCTCTTGTGATCGTAATTCTTTATTCTGGTTTCTTTCATGCTTTCTTATGTATTTTCTTTTTGATCTGTTACACAATGCAGATTGACTGAAACAGATGAAAAGCTGTCTCAGTGCTTAACAAAGACAAACAATTAAATGTCTTTTAAACGATAATTAACTTAAAGCGAGACCTTCATGGGCAAGTATGGTAAGGTGAGCTGGTCTTATATTTGGAAGGGTAACATCAGACCAGTTAACACAAATTTTAGAACTTTAAACGAAATGGGAATATTACAAATTGCGAACGTAAAAGAGACAAAAAATGAATTTACCCTTTTAGAAGCTAAAATGAAAACGGGTGATTATTTACCACTTCACCTACCTTTGTATTGACAAAGAGAAACAGTGATCCTAAGTAGAACAGGGCAGTCAGTGGGGTCTTGGTCGCGCTAGTAACAGTATAAATAATCTGAAAGACAGCAGAGAAATGTGAATTGGTGATAAAACTATTTCACAACAAACGATAATGCTATCATATGGTATTTTAATCTCAAAACAACCCGTATTGTGTCACCCAGAACATACCTGGGTCAGTGTTCTGGATGCAAAGAAGGACACAATGACCGCCAGAAGACAGCCAAGTGCACCCATAAACACCACTGAAAACATTACAAAACAAACATTTGCTTGAATACACGAATAATATTCATGTACGAACGAAAGTTTTTGCGTTGTTTAGAATAAGGGAAAGCGTATCGTTTGAGTTATTGTGATGTTGTTCGTGCAGGATTATACATTTAAGTATGTCTCCTGCTAATTACAATACTGTGCCAAAATTTTAACTTCAAAGGAAAGTATGAAATAGAGAATGGTAGGTAGAATAGACAATAGAATTATTCCCTAACATTGTTTAGCATCATGGTATTTAGATATTGTCGCATATTTGCTTGGCATACACCAATGAACATATAAAACATTCTTTGTATTCACTAATGAAAGTATCTATGAGTAGGTGAATGAGTGGCTTTAAGTGCGTTTCAGTTTTCGTAGGAGGAAAGACCGAAGTTCTTTGACGTTCACAACTTTGGTGAAAACCACGAGCACGGGTATGGTGAAATCTTATTCAAAGCATTAAATTGCTTAACAAACACACACACTTATGATTCATGCACGCCAAAGGGACGTCTCTATGTGTGGATATTTGTAGAGACTCTTAAAACTGGCCACCCGTGCCTCCGAAGTAAGGGAGATGAACTTACTACAGTCAAATGCAACTGTTCAAGATTTAAAATAGAACCATATCATTAGCTGAACACATCCCATGTAAAATTCTGGAAACCCGTTTGTCTAGAAAAACTCGGTCTTGGTCATGAGTATATGTACAATTAAACATTTTCATGGGTACATACCATTGGTTTTGAACCATGTAGCTACAAGTATCAAGACACATAAGTTAACCTGACCAAGGTTTCCTGTCATCCTAGTGTTGTCGCTACTGTTGTTGAGGCTTCATTATTGTAAGGGGCGGTCACGTAGCCTGGTGGTTAAAGCGTTCGCTCGTCACGCCGAAGACCCGGGTTCGATTCCCGACATGGGTACAATGTGTGAAGCCTATTTCTGGTGTCCCCCGCCGTGACCACAGCGTGGATAGTTTCGGGACAAGATTATTGCAAAAAGTTAAATGGGACGTATTGATTAAGAAGAAATACATGTCTTGATGAAACACCTGTTGCCTTCGCGAAGATGACACTTTTGCCCTCTGACATGTTGGGTCTGCACGGCTTGATAAGGTCATACCAAACAATACTGGCCGTGGCTGACAGACAGGAGGAGATGGTGCTGAAACATTGGACCAGTGAACAGAGCAATGTGGCTTCACGGATCAATATGACCCAAATGAGGATTCATTTAGAAAATGAGTATTCCTGGCTAACATATTCCTATTTACAAGCTATTTCAATAAATTATTACTAAATTTAGAAATATATAGAAATTTATTATATATATAGTGAGTGAGTGAGTGAGTTTTGTTTTAACGCTGCTTTTAACATTATTCCAGTTATATCACGGCGTGTCAGCTTAATGTGGGAGGAAAGCCCGAAGTGATGCAGGTCTCAGACGTTTACCACTTTGGTGAAACCCACGAACACGAGTATGGTGCTGACAAACCTAGAAACATAATCGGGGCGAACCGGGATTCTAACCCACAATCATAGGTTTCTGGCGTGCCCAAGGGACGCAACTCTGCACAGCGAATCGCGGCGCATAAGACGACTGGGCCACCCGTGCCCCCCTATATATATACAAATCAGCTATATCTCCTACCTAAGCGACGCACTAGACAGGGCAGCCAGGAACAACCCTGCCATTCCTGGCATACTGGAGAACAGGTCTAGCATCATGAATGGGATAATCTGCGAACAAACATACGAACACTGGGTGAAGGAGACTCAGAAGTACACTGCGGATCGGACGTGGCCGCGAAGGAATCGTCATATGATTCTATAAGGTGTCACATATGGCAGCGTCATTCGTTTAATATTTAACACATAATACAAAAGAACATAATTACCTTGTACGTCTGTAACAATGCTACATAGTCCTAGGACGTACCTGGTTTGGATTGTCAACTTGTTTCGATGCCACGGGATCGCATCTCTTCTGGTAGAAGTAGCCATATGCAACAATTCCTTCAGCTAAGGCAATACCAATCATTACCATAAACCCAGGAATTGTAAGAAAAAGTGCTCTGTGTGGACACGAAACAAAATTCATGCAGGTAAAACGCAAAGAGACAGCATATCATGATTTACGGCAGAATACGCTCACTATTTCGAGAACACCTGGTGTAATACTCTTTGATAGTGATTCACAAACACATGCAAATGATGTAGACGGAATCGTACAATGGATTCCTTAAAACAAAATATTACGAAAAGAGTTTTGCAACTTTCCTGCTGGAAATATAGACAGGTGACTAATTCTGTATGGAATAGCGAGGTTGAGAATGCGAGTTTTGCATATGTTAACTGTTTGATTGGCATTCTAGAAGTCTGGTTTATTGCTTTTCGCGACGTTACGATGTAGATTCTTACACTGAATCTCCAGCTTACCGTCCAGCTTGGTAACGGTGTAAGAATCTACATCGAAACGTCGCTTAATGTAATAAACCACAAGTTATGGTCTATTTCCTTGTTTGCATTTGCTCTAACTCTGTCTTATTGTGGCGTGTGTTTAAAAACGACATTTTACGACATTTTACCCGATGCATTCGTGCGTCGTGAATCGTTCGTACTCCATAATTAAACAGACGGTGTTGCCTGACGGTAATTACAAGCAATGTCATGACCGATAAACTACCTGCTGACTCGTATGACATCACATCGTCAAAATGCCATGACTCAATGAGACAATCCCTCCCCTTACCTACACTGAACCTAGTTTGAAGCTATGTCTTCACTTGAATGCAGATGTGTCTCGACACTGATGTTCCGTGATACATTCATATAATTTCCATAGCTGTTTTGCCTTTTATGCCCAAAGGAATCTGTTTCGACGGATAATCGAGACTGGTTATTCCCTGGATATGTGCACTGTAAGTCCTTGCTGGAACCATAATCTCATGGCACAAATTTATCCTGCAAAAAAATTCGTAACAAGTTTATGCGTTTAAACAAGGACCAAAAATAAATCTTGAAAAAAGGAAACAACATAAAACAGTCGCTGAATATATAATAGGCTAGACTGCAATTTAATTGCAATAAATTATTTCCCCTGGGTTGGGTGTAAATGACCTTTTAGTAGATAAAGAAAAGCGACAAACGTCTTTCCATATTCATAACAAATATCTGCTATAACCGGTGTCTCTTGTGTCATATTAAAACATGTGTTTATGAATCACAATTTAAAGGCTACGATACCAGGTGTTCGCGAAGAGATGAATGTATCATGTCGAACTGGTTGCACCGATCACACTTTGGTGAACTGGGCAATCGTTCATCCGAAATAAACATGGGATCATGGTACAAGTCAAAAGAGGGAATTGTATCAGACATCATTTGTGTCACTGACGTGTCAAATTTGGAAAAGGTCTTTGCATGTCTGCAATAAAACTTGAATGTTTAAACCCTGATAAAATAGTAGCGCAAGAGTCGTTTGGCCTATTTGTCATAACAATGTGGAAATCAGTACGAATTTGTCATTTGTCATAACGATGTGGAAATCATTACGAATGCGTCCTATTTGTCATAATGGTGTGGACATCAGTACGAATCTGCCCTATTTGTCATAACGGTGATGAAATCAGTACGAATTTGCCCTATTTGTCATTACGGTGTGGGAATCAGGACGAATTTGCCCTATTTGTTATAGTGGTGTAGAAATGAGTACGAATTTGCCCTATTTGTCGTAACGTTGTGGAAATCAGGACGAATTTGTCTTATTTGTCATAACGATGATGAAATGAGTACGAATTTGCCCTATCTGTCGTAACGTTGTGGAAATCAGGACGAATTTGCCCTATTTATCATAACGGTGTGGAAAAATCAGGACGAATTTGTCTTATTTGTCATAACGGTGTGGAAATCAGGAGGAATTTGTCTTATTTGTCAAAACGGTGTGGGAATCAGGACGAATTTGCACTATTTGTCATTACGGTGTGGGAATCAGGACGAATTTGCCCTATTTGTCATAGTGGTGTGGAAATGAGTACGAATTTGCCCTATTTGTCGTAACGTTGTGGAAATCAGGACGAATTTGTCTTATTTGTCATAACGATGATGAAATGAGTACGAATTTGCCCTATCTGTCGTAACGTTGTGGAAATCAGGACGAATTTGCCCTATTTATCATAACGGTGTGGAAAAATCAGGACGAATTTGTCTTATTTGTCATAACGGTGTGGAAATCAGGAGGAATTTGTCTTATTTGTCAAAACGGTGTGGGAATCAGGACGAATTTGCACTATTTGTCATGACGATGATGAAATAAGTACGAGTTTGCCCTATCTGTCGCAACGGTGTGGAAATCAGGACGAATTTGTCTTATTTCTCATAACGGTGTGGAAATGATTATGAATTTGCCCTATTTGTCGTAACGGTGTTGAAAAATCAGGACGAATTTGTCTTATTTGTCATAACGGTGTGGAAAAATCAGGACGAATTTGTCTTATTTGTCGTAACGTTGTGGAAATCAGGACGAATTTGCCCTGTTTGTCATTACGGTGTGGGAATCAGGACGAATTTAAAAAAATTGTCTTATTTGTCATAACGGTGTGGAAATGAGTACGAATTTGCCCTGTTTGTCATAACGATGTGGAAATTAGTACGAATTTGCCCTATTTGTCATAACGATGTTTAAATCAGTACGAATTTGTCCTGTTTGTCATAACGGTGTATAAATCAGTACGAATTTGTCCTGTTTGTCATAACGGTGTGGAAATTAGTACGAATTTGCCCTATTTGTCATAACGATGTTTAAATCAGTACGAATTTGTCCTGTTTGTCATAACGGTGTATAAATCAGTACGAATTTGTCCTATTTGTCACAACGGTGTGGAATGTGAATTTCAAGGTATGTTAATTTCTCCTGCGTATACCGATATCAGAATAAGCAGGTCTCGGAAATACTTCTTTCAATTACCAATAGCATGTATACACATATGCCATATGTTGTAACTGTTGCATTTGGGTTTATGACCTTTTGTTCAATAAACTACAACACCCTATGATCTATGACGCACCGCCTGCATTCTTTGAGAGATTTCGTCGACGAAATTCTTTGCAACACGGCAGGGTTGAACAGAAAGCCAAAATTGCCTAGGATCCGACCAAAGTACAAGTTCCATACTGTGTGCCGTACTGTTGGATCAGCATCTAGACTGAAAAGAATAGGAAATCCTTTCAGAATTTAATATTTATGATATATAAGGAACGACTTTCACTTTGCGTGATTGGAGTATGAGCATTCATAGAGTGAGGCCAACCTGAATGAACGTTGGAGCTCTTGCAATTTTTATAATCCCTATTTGTACCTCGAAGGATCAATTCAAAATTTCAGTTAGAACGCGTTACTTCATGTTTCAACTGACAAACATCCAACAACTAGATGTGTCGCGGAACATACTAGTTCGGCATAAATGACGACAGGGCTAAAGATTAAGCCCAGGCTTCTAAGAAAGACCAACATATAGGTTCCATATAGGTTCCATACTGTGTGATGCACTGGATCTGGAGCGAGACTGAACACCATCTCAAATCGTTTCAAAATATATCTTTATACAGTTTGGACATCTCTATAAAGGTTCAAACTCCAATTAACCCACACAACGTGAAAGTCAATTCGAATGGATAATCACCATGATACTAATGTCCAGTATCGTGTGCTTTACCTGAAGTCTAGTCTGCCAGACTCCAAAGCTGGACCCCAGACCTTCGCCACACCTCCAGCATCGATAGTTCCCTGAAAGTATAACTAAACTAAATTTCAACGATCAGCATGAATAACTGTATAAATAAAAGCGACAAACACATTCCAATATTCATAAGAAATCTCTGTTAGAAGCAGAAGGCATTCTGAAAACACATGGCTTCACTAGAAACAGAATTAGAAAAGGGTCCAGTTTGGAAGCTCACCTTAATTGTCACAGATAATAATCCAATGAACATGATTGTGCACTGGAGGACATCGGTCCAGATTACTGCTTTTAAACCACCCTGGAAATCGTAAACTGTATTATTCATTAAATAATGAACAGAACAAAGCAATGTGTTAAATGATAGATACAATAGTCCAGTATCATGATGAAGAAAATGGTCACATATTCATTTTAATATTCGATCTGAAAACAATGTTAATAACTTTTCCTCATAATCATGAAAACACTTAATATATATATTAAAAACAATAGTATGGAAATGTGGTTTTTTTCGTTTGTCTAGTTCATTTAATTACACGGTTTTTTTGTTATTTTATGGTAATCATCCTTCTAACACGATGAGGAACGACGGAGAGTTGCTGAACTCCTCATATGAGGGGCGGGATGGACGTGGGGGCTGGGTGGGAGTCACATTAGTGCCCGTTTCCTACTATTTACAGTACGAAACAAGTTATGCGAGTATCTAAAAAAATTGAATGACGAAATTAATAGAAAATGACAATTTATTACGTGTCCATAGTCGATCTCACCAGGGTTGTATAGATGATAACCACTACGGTTGTTATCGACATAGCGCCATACACAGAACACCCAGTCACTGGAATGGAGAACAAATGTCAGCGATAGATTTTTTTAAAAATAGTGTGAGATATACATCTTCTTTAAAGTGTATTCGGAATGTATGAAAACTGCGAACTGGTATTGTTAACCAAATAACAACGAAATGCATGATATGGAAGATGTTGGAAATGTTCTAACAGGATTTGACAGCATGAGTTATTCTATGAATATTCACATATCTCGGAATCATATACGCAAGAGCCGACTAACGGGATCGGGTGGTCAGGCTCGCTGACTTGGTTGATACACGTCATCGTATCCCAATTGCGTGGATCGATGCTCATGATATCAGTCACTGGATTGTCTGGTCCAGACTCGATTATTTACAGACCGCCGTCCTATAGCTGGAATATTGCTGAGTGCGGCGTTCAGCAACAAACAAACAAAACATTATCCATATGAATTTTTGATGTGCACGTTTTAAGATTACTCTAGCGTCTTGCGCAAATATGCATCTACAAAATCGATGTTCGAAAAAATATATGTTCCAAAAAAGTACATACCTGCTTGGAGAGCCACCGCCTGCCCATACAACACAACACTCACGTATTGCAGCTACGGGAACGATAGAGGTGGAATAATGTTATTTCAGAAAGATCAAGTTAGATCTGACGAATCAGTTATATACCTCTTGAAAGAATGAAGGTGTATTGGACTTGTTTCTTCGACAAAAAGTTAAATACGTATTATAACATCTATGAAGAAATTACATAACATTAAAACAACATTCAGTGTAAAGGCAGTGAAGATTGAACAGCTTCTTTAAAACAACATTCAGTGCACAGGCTGTAACGATTCAACAGCTACTTCAAAACAACATTCAGTGCACAGGCCGTAAAGATGCAACAGCTACTTCAAAACAACATTCAGTGCACAGGCCGTAAAGATGCAACAGCTACTTCAAAACAACATCAGTGCGCAGGCCGTAAAGATGCAACAGCTACTTCAAAACAACATTCAGTGCGCAGGCCGTAGAGATGCAACAGCTACTTCAAAACAACATTCAGTGCGCAGGCCGTAAAGATCCAACGGCTACTTCAAAACAACATTCATTGCACAGGCCGTAAAGATGCAACAGTTACTTCAAAACAACATTCAGTGCGCAGGCCGTGAACATGCAACAGCAAGTGAACCTACATTAAACAGGCATGCCAGTAGATTCGCCAGGAGGCGCAGAGGTCGGGAGTGGAAGCGTCTTTCTAAATACTAAAATTGAAACATCAGCAGTAATGTTCAGATAACACGTAGGCGTTTGGGTGATCTAAACACATACATATGTCCATGGAGCTGAAGAACAGATAAGATACGGCCGTGGAATAGTGACATTTTACTTATTCCTATCGTCTTATAGGAGTCTGCAGGTATGTTTTTGTAATCACTATGCAAATCGAACTGCCGTGTATGGGTGTAAAGTGTAACGTATCTAGCGCCTACATGACTCGTAGTCGCCAATATTCTTAGACTAAAAGTCAAATTGACAAATCATGGCGCTATATATCAAATAAAACCGAAATTTATATTCATTTTACCGCACGTCACGAATGGGAGTAATACCACAAAGTTTAATGAACTATGCAATCGCTGCGTTGTATCCTCATTGCCTGTCGGCATAGCACTGTAAAACGCGTCAGTGACAAACATAATGTAAGATGCTTTTCCTATGTTTGACTTGATCCCGATGTTCTTCTCAGGTGAACTCATGGTTGTCTTTGCATGTGATTATGACGGATACACTAACCTATTTCGATCACTATGTGGTATTTGTTTGTTTGTTGTTTAACTCCGCGCTCAGCAATATTCCAGCTATATGACGGCGGTCTGTAAATAATCGAGTCTGGACCATACAATCCAGTGATTGATATCATGCGCATCGCTCCATGCAATTGGGATCAATGACATGCATCAACCAAGTCAGCTAGCCTGACCACCTGATCCCGTTAGTCGCCTCTTTCGACATGCGTAGTCGCCTTTTACGACAAGCACGGGTTGCTGAAGAACTATTCTACCCCGGATCTTCACGGGTCCCAACACTATACGATAGTGATATTTGACACATGCTGTTGATACAGACGGAATCGTACAAAACGCACTGTTTTAGCAGAGATTTCTTATGAATATGGAAATGGTGTTGTCGCTTTTATTTATCGATTTGCGAAGGAAATAGCAAAACAACATATAGATATTACACTGTTCTTTTATAATCGTATTTCCCCTCCGTGTATTGTTAACATATTTTTAAAAGTTAAAAATATTAAATATACTTCAATGCGAAATTGTGAACACATTGAATTATTTCCCCACGTGACTCGAAAGTATAGAGTGAATTTGGCTCGCTTACTGCAATGCAATACACTAGAACCCCCTTTTTTATATTTATACAGTTTCAATAAGATTCAATGTGGTTGAGTAACAAAAAACGATCTATACCTGTCTAATAAAAGCAAAAGTGTCTCAGTTAAGTACTTTTGAAGGCCCTTAAAGTTACGGGGGCGGTTGGGTAGCCTAGTGGTTAAAAGCGTTCGCTCGTCACACCGAAGACCCGGGTTCGATTCCCGACATGGGTACAATGTGTGAAGCCCATTTCTGGTGTGCCCCGCCGTGATATTGTTGGAATATTGCTAAAAGCGGCGTAAAACCATACTCACTCACTCTAAAGTTACGTATTGATTGAGTGATAATGTTGCATGATTTTACCTCAAATGGTGACGAGAGGTCCATTCTTCTAACGAATACGAGGACGAGGAATATATCGATGAAAACGGCCGTTCCGCTTGCCAGCTCAGCAAGCATCCACTGAATGCCATGAGCGTAGGACTCGGCGGGCGTCCCTAACATCATCACCGACGACTCAAGCGTCGCTACCAGAGACAACGCCACGGGGAGAAAAGTCAAGGATTTACTAGCGACGAAATATTCGCTTATAGTTGTTCGTTTGCCTGATGATACGGCATAGTAGATACCGATGCTAATGGAGGCTGCCATCATCAGTCCAAACACCAGGTAGTCCCAGATTCCAAATGTAGCTGTAGACATCCTCAATGTGACACTGTAAAGCATACACACAAATACTGGATATGGATGTGTACTTACATCACTTGTATTCAAACCCGTTTATTTGTTGTTCAACGCCGCACTCAGCAATATTCCAGCTATATGTAGGCGGTCTGTAAATAATCGAGTCTGGACCAGACAATCCAGTGATTGGCATCATGAGCATCAATCCATGCAATTGGGATACGATGACATGCATCAAACAGGTCTGCGAGCCTGACCACCCAATCTCGTTACTCGCCTCTTACGACAAGCATAGTCGCCTTTTAAGGCAAGCATGGGTTGCTGAAGACCTATTCTACGCCAGATCTTCATGGGTTGCCATTTGTCAGACCATGAGCTAAAGGTCGTAGTGAAGCGTATCTTACTCGCATTTGTTTTCGGTATCCCGACAAATTTGATGTCTCATCCATTCCCTTGTTTTCTATACTTCTGATTCTGGAGAGATTAACTTACACTGCCTGGCGCTCGACATTAAGGGGATAAAACAAGGACAGGTCGGCGCGGAGACAGTATACTGTGTCCGAGTGGAGTATTCATGTGAAACTGTTGCATGATATCTCTGTTGGCTAGCACTATAAATCTGCATCAGTCCAGACTAGTACAAGCAACCACAGACTCTCTCTCTCTCTCTCTCTCTCTCTCTCTCTCTCTCTCTCTCTCTCTCTCTCTCTCTCTCACACACACACACACACACACACACACACAAATACACACACGCACGCACGCACGCACGCACGCACGCACGCACGCACGCACACACACATCGCTATATAAATGCAATAATCTTCACCTCATCTGGCCCGGAACGAAACCTGTTGAACATTAGTAGTGCAATCATGTAAGGTTCACAACTGGAGGGTTTTGAGGCCGATCCCATGACCGCGAAACTGACGTTAAAAAGCAAATAAATTCGTTAAGGGATTTTGGGCGATGTAATTGGTGTATTGGCTGCTGATATGACCAATTCATTTTTCAACAAACTTCACAAAGAGACGTTTACGAAGTATTAACTTTACCTTTGGATGTTTTCACGATTTTTGGTCGGAATATGTCTCTGCTGTCTCGTTTCCCTGGTTACCACGATCTTGAGGAACAGCAATATTGGAAAATATATGAACATTCCCTTTTTACACAATGTTTCATTAAAACACATATTTGCATTAACCAAATGATGCCAGAGGGACATATTTGTCCCTCCTCTTCAACCCTCACGTGGAAGTCGAATAAAATCCAAAATACATCACGCACACTGCAAATTTTCAGTTCTGTGGGATATTCCCTGTTCTGTGAAACCATCCACTGTCACTTAAGCCACAACAAAATTACTGAAAATGACTTCTGAAAATCTCTCCATTTTTTACACATGGAAGCGCAAAATTCGGATTTTACACTGTAACATTTTCCCCTATATTGAGAGATCCATTCATCAAGTCGTTGCATACAAAGACTCAGTATTTTTAGAATATACATGAGAGAGTATCGTAGCAAGAATTAGGAAATTATAATTAGATACATTACAATGAGTTGGTAAATTCAACAGAAATTGTCAAAGTTTCGTCCTGCGTGACGCCATGACTGACGTAATATCCTCCAAAACGACAAAGGTATTAATCAGCATTTCGATTCTCTTGGTACAATAAAATAACATTAAAAAAATAACAGTACGTAGATTGTTAAAGTTTCGTCCTGCGTGACGCCATGACTGACGTAATATCCTCCAAAACGACAAAGGTATTAATCAGCATTTCGATTCTCTTGGTACAATAAAATAACATTAAAAAAATAACAGTACGTAGATTGTCAGAATGTTTCTGATTACTTACATGTCACATTTATGTATATACGATCCCTGAATCAACGAAAGTCCCCACGTAAATCCCACATACTGATGTCAGTGAACTCGCCATTTTGTAAAAGTATAGGTCAACATATGTTGTACATAATTGGTAATTTCTTCGAGAAGGAGATCGGGTGAAAACAGTCAGTCATTTCTGATGTAAGATTAATCAAACTAACTCGCGCTTATTAAGATTTGTGTTTTTTTATGGAATTGGAACTACTTTGTTTTGCGTAAGCGGAAGAATATACCCGCAATTGGGTCACTGCATGCCAATGTACCCCGTAACGTAGATCGCCTGAAATGTGCGGCACAGTACAATTTGCATCTCTTAAACTTCAAAATACTAATGACACAACTTGACGTTCATACGTTTTTCACGAAACCATATTTTTGAAATGACTTAAACACTGACGGACTACTTCCACATTCCAAGGGAAAACCCTGTGAATACATACATACATCATCTTGATATTCACCTTTAAATGATCGTCCTCTTAAAGGTACAACTTCTTTAACTTCTTTAACAAATGATAACACTTTCTGAGTAAAGTACAGATTCTAGTATTATTTGGGGTTGTGTCCCGTCCGGGATTCGAACCCACACTGCTAGAATGAGGCACCTAATCGCCGGTACACAAAGTCAGTGATCTAACCCACTCAGCCACCGAGGCTTCCACAAAAATGAAAGTCCGACAACTAGTCTGGTACTGGCACTGCTCCCATGGCCGAAAGCTATGAACACCCAATGCCATTTAGAAAGAGGTTACATTTGACCACTTAGGTGGCTCACTCTGGCAGTGTGGGTTCGAATCCCGGACGGGACTCAACCCCAAAATGTACGGGAATCTGTACATTACTCAGAAAGTGTTATCCTAAATATAACATTTGTTACATTTGACCACATTCTAAATGGCATTGTGTGTACAACTTGTTCTTGTTATTTACATACTCTAGAATTTATGATTTAAACTAATAATTATTGCCTCATAGACTTGTGCAAGTGTAGTGTGTGTTTTAAGTAAGTAGCTTTACATTTCACTTTTTCCATAGGTTGTAGTAGGGGCGGTCGGGTAGCCTAGTGGTTAAAGCGTTCGCTCGTCACGCCGAAGACCCGGGTTCGATTCCCGACATGGGTACAATGTGTGAAGCCCATTTCTGGTGTCCCCCGCCGTGATATTGCTGGAATATTGCTAAAAACGTCGTAATCATACGCACTCACTCTAGGTTGTAGTTGTTACCAAAGAGAATATCATTCTGCTTATCATAGCATTTGTTTGAATTGTGATCATTCCAAAAAGTCTTACGTTAACCAAACGACACAGTAATGCTAACACAATTCAACATGTCATAAAACATTTTCGAAAGCTTTACGGGGACCTATAAATTCTAACAACCTTTCAGCAGCTTACCTTGCATTTGAAGTCATCACGTTTAGTTAAATGCTTGGTTGGTATCATTTATATGATCCACCTACAACGCTCATGAACTCTACCAGTCATAGTTTATCATCACACTTATAATAAATATTGACATACCAACATTGGCACTTCTTCATTAATGTATATGTGTATGTACTTCATTCTCACCATGTAAACAATAACTGCGTATGCACTATTGATACACTGTTCGCGCGTGCCGGCGTGGTGTTTTTGTAAAAAAACTCCATGTGTACATATCCAGGACCTGTACAGAATGACCAAGAGCGCGGGGATATCCATAACGTTAATCACATAAGCGCTCATGTGTTATTAGTGTTATAAAATAACAAAACTTACATTAATGCTTACATTCAATACATACAAAATAATATACAGTTCGTTAGGGATTTATAAATGGACAAATACTAGTATAGAGGGTATAATCGAGCGTGTTGTGAGATGATTCAAAAGTTCTGTATTAGGAATTAAATAATGTATTCAGCGCATTGGTCTTGGTGTGCAATTAACATTAATATTGGTAAACGGCTTGCTAGCGGCTTTGTTGTGTCTGATGTGAACTAATAAATGTCCTTTGTAACTTACCCTGCACTGGGGCAACACACAAAACATTCTATAGAAAGTGTGTTAATTAACCAAGTCTTTGGAGATTGAAATAAGTAATGCGAAAATAGTTCGGAAGTGAAAGACACATATTGGTTACTCTTTTTCTAAGTAAAGTTTACAGCTTTGTACCTTATTAGCATATCGCCACCCCATCCACTGTCAAACGTCTTACAACAATTGCCAAAGTGGTGTTGGTTGAAGTGGTGGTATTGGTGGTGGTATTGGTGGTGGTGGTGGTGGTAATCGTGGTGGTTGTGGTTGTGGTGGTGGTGTTGGGGTGGGAGGGGGGGTTGCGGTGATGGTGGTGGTGGTGGTTGTGGTATTGGAGGTGGGACTGGCGTTATGGTATTACTGGTGGTATCGTTTGATGGTATTGATGGTAGGAGTTGTATTGATGGCATGGGTGATATTGGTTGTGATGGCATTATTGGTCGGCGGTATTGATGGGGGTGGTATTGATGGCTTGGTGGTATTGATTGTTTGGTGGTATTGATGGAGGAGATGGTATTGATGGTGTGGTGGTATTGATGATGGAGATGATATTGATAGATGGGATGATATTGATGGTGGGGGTGGTATTGATGGAGGAGATGGTATTGATGGTGTGGTGGTAGTGATGGTGGGGGTGGTATTGATGGAGGAGATGGTATTGATGGTGGAGTGGTATTGATGGAGGAGATGGTATTGATGGTGTGGTGGTATTGATGGAGGAGATGGTATTGATGGTGTGGTGGTATTGATGGTAGGGTGGAACTGATGCTGGGGTGGTATTGATGGTGGGGTGATATTGATGGTGGGGGTGGTATTGATGGAGGAGATTGTATTGATGGTGTGGTGGTATTGATGGAGGGGATGATATTGATGGTGTGGTGGTATTGATGGTGGGGGTGGTATTGATGGTAAAAAATGGTATTGATGGTGTGGTGGTATTGATAGATGGGATGATATTGATGGTGTGGTGGTATTGATGATGGAGATGGTATTAATGGATGGGATGATATTGATGGTGGGGGTGGTATTGATGGAGGAGATGGTCTTGATGGTGTGGTGGTATTGATTGTGGGGATGGTATTGATGGTGGGGGTGGTATTGATGGT